TTGAGAATACCGATATATTCTAATGTGTACTCAAAATGCTCTGTTTGGCCGGTAAAACGACTACCCCTTCTCCTTTACCGTCAACAGCTTCACAAAAAACCCATGAATCTCCCATTCTCCCTCGTAGAACTTCTGTCAAGTGGCGTTGAAAAGAAGTATCGTCCCACTTTGTCTTACCAAAGTAGAGACTGACGATCTGTAAGCTGGTCCTGGCTCGTAAAATCCGACACAGACGGTCAGCAATGTCCAAAGCTTTCTCTCGCTTTTTAGGCCAACGTGGCCCACTGCTGAAGCTGAGATCGAGAGAGCGAATGCTCGGGCTGACCGACGCATGTACATTCGATGCTGTATCGATGCGAGAGGAAAAATGGTCGGCAAGTCGCTCGAGGCACTCGAGACCGTCAAAACCGACGATGGTCAGAGATATAATATGGGGGTGGGAGCTCAACAGTTGGATACACCGGTCAAAGTTCTGAATCCTAGAGGTCAACCCAAGCCACATTTTCAGCTTCTGCAATTTACATTGCGAATGTAGGAGGAGATTGCATAGCGCATCGAATTGACTTCCATGTATGACTTCGAAACCGTAAAGTTCTAGTGAAATCAGGCAAGGCAATGACACGCCTCGGAAGAAAGTATCGTCAGATTTGTAGAGCTGTGGATAAGGGCTCGCCAATGACAACTCAGTGATGCGTGATATATGAGTGCCATCTAGCTCATCGGGTGGGTCATTGCTGCCACCGCCGAACTCCTTGACGGTGCATTGCGTGAGGTTCGGGAAGCGACGCAAAAGGTTTCCGAGTGTCCTGTCACTGGCGTAAGAAATATGAAGTTTCTTAATCTGCGACAGATTCAAGTTGGCCACAGAATACAGTTCTCCTCTGTAGCTTTGGAGGGTAGGGCACATGCCGAAGAGACAAGATATATAACCTATCATCAATGAATGTTGATCCTGCGGGAGGTGGAGATATTCTAGAGCGGGAAAACAGACGTTATTGGCGTGACTAGGTGTAGAGTGGGGAGATTTGAAGTTTGGTACCAGTTTCAACGCGGCGAGTGATAACCAGCTGCGAAGCTCATCAGTGGAATCTATACACAGTTCAAGCTCTCGCCATCTGTGGGCACATTCCAAAAGAGCATTGGACAGGCCTTGAGGAATACTGGATGAGGGTGACATCGCGGAATGAATCCTGAGCGAAAGTAAGGAATTTTCCGACTTTTTAAGGCATTCGATCACCGTTGCTTCTCGATCATCCTGTAAGTTGATATTCATGACTGACCAGAGTTTAGGCTCTGAAAAAGCGATAGTTCGCCAAACATAACAGACTCCAGTTAGGAGAACAACGGGAAAGGATTGGCGAGGGTAATGATAGTGATCGTTATCGAAGCAACAATACGTGAAAAAGATTTCCGTCAAGACTTCAATGGGAAGTTTTAATATGGGGGACAAGGATGAGTTTCGAGCCCGTTTAAGCCTGGCGGCGGCAGCCTCGAGTTCAGCGATCGCTTCTTCGTAGGCAGCCGCAGTAGCAGAGGGAGAATCTAATTCAAAGTCTTTGGAGTGGTGTGAAATGTGATCAATGGCGGAATAGCATTCTCTACATAAGATTTTCGAAGAAGAACCGAAATCCATCAGCTTTAAGGTATAGAGTTAGAGTTATGGAACAGAACAAGAAGGATCATTCACCTTGAATATGGATAAGGCGTACCAGTTATAAGCGCCCATGGTCAAATCTTTACGTAACGGGCGCTTTCCTGGTTTTCCTGCTCCAATTATGTCGGGCAGCGGTGTACTATCGAGCTCGCCGGCCTCTACAGGAAGCTCGCCACTTCGCAGACGGACGAGCTCCAGCGTCAGCATGGATGACCCTTCCGAGAACCGACCCAGGCTTTCTCCGACCTTGACCAGGACCTATGATCCCAACGATCCTAAAGTTAGGGAGCGCCAGCAAACGTTGGATATGGATATGGCTATGCATCTTTCAAGAGCCAGAAGGGACACTGTCACGGTATCTCCGACCCTTGCTCAATCAGAAATTCAGCCAGAGTCCCAAGAAACCTCAATGCAAGCGAGTATTTCCCCTACGGAACAGCGTGAGCTCGATAGAGCCTGTGGCCCTCCTCTCGAAGAAGCTGAAGATTCGGAATCTATTCTTACCAAAAGGCAGTCATCGCCTGTAGACCTGCACGACCTTTTATCACAATCTCATGATCCTAGCCTTTTAGTCTCATTAAGCGGCGACGGTCAGGGTCCATCTTCCAATCAAAACGATTCATCCACTTCTGCATACGGACCTCTTCCAACCTACCAAGCAAACGTGGCCCCATCTTCTGCTTTCAATTTTGAACCTCTGGAAGCATTTGCTGCTTCTGAAAAGCTCTCACTAGGAATTACTTCTCCTTTGAGCAACAAAACGAAATTTAGCCTCCCTCCACCTCGGAATCGACAATTTACAGATGATGTTTTCCTACCAAGACAAAATTTGCCTGTATCACCTCCCCCCCCTCCTTCATCTACAGACACTTCCGAACCTGCATCATCCACCGTCATTCCGAGCGGCGAAACCGCGGATTCTGCAGCATCCGCCCCACCTGCCTCCTCATCTACTCCCACTCGCCAACGTAAACTCAGTCAGAGCAATCCACAACCTCGCTCTCATCGTAAGGGCATTGGAGGGAAGCTCGCCTTATTTGAGAACATCAATGGCGGTTCCTCCGGCGCCAACCGAATCCCCTTTTCCCTTGGCGCGGGCGGTAGCAGTGCGATTGGTGCTTCGATGTCAAACGAAGGTCCTTTAGATGGTTCGCCAGGTTTGTTTAGGCCGGCTACCGTGCCCGCGGCCTCATTTCCTGGGCTACACACTGGCCACGATCGACCGTATCGCTTCTCGTTCTATTCAAATGCGCACCCTTCTACTATCCATGCAAAGAGTCTTTCGGAACTTCCTGCAGAAGGACAATCCTTCCAGGATCTTTTTGCTGGTGCTAGCCGAGATGGTAGTGACCAAAATACAAAAGACCCTAAGAGGCCTGTAAGCGCAGGTCTGAAGGGATACTTTCCGGGTAATGTCAAACCTTCTCACAGAAGTAAACCGGGATTCGGAGGACTGGGTTACTCGAATCACGAAGGTGATGATCCAGAATCTTCCACATGGTGGCTGGACATTTTGAGCCCCACCGACGAGGAGATGAAATTGTTGAGCAAGGTAGGTTTTGTTGGCGATCGAAAGAGATTTTTTTGCCAACCTATTGTAGGTTTTCGGGGTCCATCCTTTAACAACTGAAGACATCCTCATGGAAGAAACACGCGAGAAGATAGAGCTTTTCAGAAACTATTATTTCGTGTGTTTCCGAAGTTTTGATCAGGACTCATACAGTCCCACCTACTTGGAGCCATTGAACATGTACATTATTGTCTTTAGAGAGGGGACATTGTCGGTAGGTTTATACGGTTCCTCGTTCCTTACCATTCCTGACTCCCATGTCAAGTTCCATTTCCGTCCTACCCCTCATCCTTCCTCAGTCCGAAGACGAATTAAGCAGCTCAAGGACTACATTTCTGTCACATCTGACTGGATATCCTATGCGCTCATCGATGATATCACGGATGCGTTTGGTCCTCTCATTCAGAGCATTGAATATGAGGTCGACTCTATCGACGAACTTGTGTTGATATTAAAGGATAGCACGGAGCAAAGCGATATGTTGAGGCGGATCGGGACTTGTAGGAAGAAAGTTATGGGATTACTGAGGCTAATGGGCAACAAGGCGGACGTTGTCAAAGGGCTTGCGAAGCGTTGCAATGAGAACTGGCAGGTTGCTCCGACGAGCGATATTGTAAGTACAAGCTTTGAATATAGCTCTTTCCGTATGAAGTGACGAATTTTTATTCGTTCTAGGGTCTCTATCTTTCCGATATCCAAGTAAGCTTTTGTTCTGTTTTGCAGTTGTCGTTATCGTATGCTCAAGCTTTTTGTTTGCGTAGGACCATTTGATTACTATGACTCAATCGCTGAATCACTACGAAAAGATTCTCTCCCGCTCGCACTCCAACTATCTGGCTCAGATTTCGATCGAAATGACCGAAGCTAACAACCAGATTAATGATGTGTTGAGCAAGCTTACTGCACTGGGTACGGTCCTCATTCCTATGAATTTAGTTACTGGTAAGATTTTTTTGCGTCTGTTATGCTGAGCCTGACACGGTCCTAGGTTTATGGGGTATGAACGTGCATGTCCCGGGTCAGGGCATCCCAGGGTATGCGTGGTTCGTTTCCATCATTGCATGCCTCGCGGCTTTTGCGGTCATTGGCGGTTATACAACATATAGGTTGTTGTCTAAGCGGTAGACTTTTTGATTTAACCATACATGTATGTTATCATTTATTGGTGTCTTCGCATTGGAATATTGGGACTTTGTCACAACTTTCTTTCTCTCCTTCAACATTATACATCAATATCGAACCGTATTATACGTTAGCACCTTACGCTATTCGTCTGTGTCGTTCAGCGGTAAACCATTATACGAACATGCGTTGTACTGTAGATTTCTCCTTCATAGTTACTAGAGCAACTGAAGCGGCAATCTCCGACTGGAACGTTCACTTGAATACGAAGACAGTAGGTAAGTATTGAAAAGTTCTGCTTAGTGCGTGGTGTGTGACTCTTGCTTGCGTTTGAACATTGGACACCGTGTCATAATGAAACCAGTGCTGCTACATAGAGCGTCGACGCAGCACAGATTTGTATAGGAACTTTCAATTTCCCGAACTCTAAGTAAATGTTGGAGAGGAGTTGTGCAAACAGGAAGGGACTCGTGGACCTAGCACTGTAGCAGGGCCCCAGCGGGACTCGGGCGCAACGTTAAACGCCTGATCAAGGTATCCAGCCCTCCTTTCTAATTGCAGTCGAGTCGAGAAATAAGAAAACCCACATCTGCACAATCTTCCAAGCGAATCCGAATCGAAAAACAAGAAAAATTACCAAGTAAATCTTTGCAAAACCCCCAGCGGGACTCGAACCCGCAACCTCCAGATACTAGTTTCCTACGGTTCTCATGTCCCGTTAGAGTAGAAGTCTGACGTCATAACCATTAGACAATGGGGGCTTGCTGTATCTTGAGATTCAAATCAATAATACCGGTATGCACAGGATTCAGGAGAGTAGGATTTTAAGTACTAAAAAGGAGCGGGATGGCGAACCGCATTGCGATTTCTGGCTGTTTTCTTGGAGGGGCATCCGCAGGGGAAATCGTAACTACAGGTAGCACTGCTAAGGTGTATGTGCATGTATGTATGTGAGATGGGAAGAGTTCGGTCAGAGACCTTGATAAGTATTAAAATAAATATTGAAGGAGGGTCGACGACGAACAGTTCACTCTGTCCCAATGTTGGGAAGGAAGACATCAGAAAAAAACCAAACCCCCATTTGAGGCGTAACCGCGCTGTGGTATTGGCTTTTGCGAGGCTTGGCCTACGGGACTAGTACTCCTGCACACCGGGACCCACGCAACCGAAGGCGAAGTCGGCACTGGTGACCAACGTCTAATGGGGATGCTCTGAGTGAGAATCATGGGTCCCACATGTGGCGGGTTGAAAGGGCTGTAGAGGCAGGGAAAACGTGAGGAAGCTGTCACCTATTTGTTATCTCATCGGGTTTGTCATGGTCATCATCGACGACTTCGTCTCTCCAGTCTGCCTGGAAGGGGATGACATTGCTGTCTGAACTATTCGTTTGGGTCGGATGCATCAAACCTTGAAGCTGCCTTGATGACAGTCTCTTGTCTCGTATAAACCCTTTCAAACCTTGTTCAAACTCCTTCTAAAGCTTGAATTTCGCACTTCCCTGGTTAATATTGCTTTTTCAAAATATCTCGTTATTGTAGTGGAGTTCACTTTGAGCAGGATCTGCGTAGTGATTCCTATCTGCTGCTGTAAATCCTTCGAAAGCAAGCTGCATCATTCAACCCCGAGTTCGTTACGGAAATAGTTGGCGGGTAAATTGGTTTAGATTTGATCAGAAGGCAAGTACGCTCGGAACTTTGTACTCATCAACTTGAGCACAAACGGTCATGTTGCTACTTGTTGAGGCCTTCCCTTTTTATATCTGCATACTCGTGTCTATAGAGACATCTGTCGGATAATACTCACCATCTCTGCCAGACCAATCAAAGTCCTCAAGTATGAGACCATCTTTGTCGAAGCCTGTCGCCAAAAGAAACACTGATTGGAATGGAGGCCAATCGCAAGGTATGCAGCGAGGAGGTATGATTATGAATATGAGCCATACTCGGCACTCCCTCAAGATACTATATCATTTTCCTCAGTGCCACAATCGCACCCACCTCTGCCACTTCCAGGATCTTGTCAGGAGTTGTCTGGTACACGCATCATATCAGCGTCCAGGAGATCATAAACAAAAAATCAGTGTCCGATAATTGGGTACACCGTAACTGAGTGAGCGAAGCGAGGCCTTGTAATGGAAGGAGTCCATAACCTTCCCTCCTCGTTCGGCCCCCCGCAAAATTTCTTCGCCTATAACTTTCACAACCACTCACGTGTGGAGCTTTCTCTCCCAGCGAGGCAGTAGAACGTTAAGCTATAAAAGCGGTGAAAAATGGTCTCTGAGCCGCCTGGTGTCCCCATCGAGTTTTTCTTTCCTTTCCAGATGTGCGCGGTTATTCATTCCCCTCTTTCCATTTCCAAACCAGATACCGCATCGAGTTAATGAATAACTTGCAACTACCCAAAGCCTTTTGGGGTTGTGAAAAGAAAGCGTGAAAGAGGTCGACGGCAACGAGCAATAGTTGCCGTCTGCCGGCTTCTCGACTGGCACTGTCAATTTTTGATCCGCGCTTCAGAGCTTCAGCGCTCAAGCTGTTTCCTCCGCTCATCGTCCATGAAATTACTGCACTGGTGCACGCTGGCACCGGAAGGACCTTCAAATCTTGCTGCAATTCGATTTACCAAGCTTGTCCGGGTATCATGTATTCGTGTATTTCCTAAAGGTGCAAAGCCTTTCGAACAGTGTCCAGTTATTGTCAGGTATGTCCATCGTACAAACACGTCTCTTAATCCTGACGGCTTCCATAAGTGAAACTGAACCCGAATCATTCTTTCTGGATGTCTACTTTAACGCGCAGCCGATACAGCAACCTTCACCGGACTCGAAAGAGAAGCAACGGGCAGCCAACGCACTCGTACCCTCTAAAATTGCATATGCCGGTGGCCAGGTTGATTTTACGGTTGATTTAGGTACAGAGGTAAGCAATATCTACAAGTCGCAACTTATTTTTGATGAAATTACAGTACGGTACAAGGTTAATGATAGTCAAAGGCCAATTCGACGCTCTTTCACTTGCAATTTATGGGCAGGTCGTGTCAGAGTCTTCCGATGCTTCTCAGTCAGTAGAGGGCATTGCCAACTCAGCATTAAATCCAGTTCCCTCAGTAGAAACGCGAACATTGCCCTCGTCCATTAATCCAGCAAACTCTGCTGACCCTACTTTCCTTGCCCGGAATCTTCTTTCGCTTCTAGACGACCCCCCTCCACTTTCACTCATCACTAAGCTGATGTTCTGTCTGAAACCAGACAATGATGATTGGGATGATCCGGAATTTCCTTACCTTTTCGTGGATTTTGATAGGGAAATTTTCCAAAGTTACATCAAAACAGATGAAGACATTGCTCAGGAGGAAGAAGAGGAAGCCAATTTCGATCTCGAGTCGACGTTGGATGCAATGTCCAGACCAGTTTCAGACACGGTATCGGAAGACACACTAACGAAATTCGCGCAGATCGTGGCGGACAGTCTAGGGCCCAAGACCAACAACCAGGCATTTCAGATAGCCAAACTGTTCAAACTTTCAGCTTCTCAACGTCCTTCCTTAGCTCTGGCTCTGTGTGTAAGCTCTCATACGTATTTCATTCCCATACCATGTTCAATTTTTACTTTAGCAAGTGATTGAACCGAGTAATGTCTTTGACGCCCAGTCGCTAGATGAAGACACGCTTTCAAATCTTCTCGATGCGTCTGCGAATGCAGACATTGCACGATTTCTCCATACTGATACCTTCCTTGCGACTCTCACCGAAGTTCAATCCTCAGCCAATGCCGCACAAACGAAAACAGCTAAACAAGCGGCCGAGCGTCTTGCCACGCGTTTAGAGGCGTGGGATCTCTTTGAGGATGCGCTTTCGAATACGATGGCAGATTTTTCAGGCGCCACTGCAATGTTACGAGACTTTGGCTCAGGAGAACAAAGCCTAGGAATATGGCTGGCAAGTATGACCGGGCACGCAGATTTAACTATGAAACTTGCCGACAATCCAACCGTTGCTAACCCGATCAGTGCATATCCGAGGCTTTTCGTGAAGAACAACATTGGCAGTTGGGGAGGAACGGGTCTTGGGGGAGCAGTGTCTCATGACGAGTTTATTGCCTTTGTGCGAACCTTTATTGGCGTCGCTAGTGTGTTGGCCGTCTGGGCTTGGTCTGACAGTTTAGGGAACGATGTTTGTCGTGAAAGAGCGTTGGGAGTACTGAGACTCTGGCAAACCACAGATGGCTATCGGGAGGTGAGTATCTATGGACTGTATTTACAAAGTATCTCAAATTCGCTAGATCGTAAACTACCTCCTCCTGCTTCGTCAGTTCACCCTCCGCCTCAAATGGATTACCAGCAATGACAGTGCACCCCGGAAATCCGGTATATTCGGTGAACAGATTCTATCTGACCTCCTTGACGAGCCAAGTGCCGCTTTGAACGATGACTTAGTCCAAACCATTCTCTCACTTCAGCAGCCGTTGTCACACATTAGTGAAAACGACCGACTTTCGATGCGGAAAATTGCTCTAGTTGTTGAAGATGGCTTACCTGCAGCCATTGAAGAACTTACTCGTCCCAGCGCCCACCCGTTGTCATATCGTCGTCTTAGGACTCTCCGAGTGAGTGTCGCGTTAGTGGAGAGGGAGTTGACAGAGGATGCTCAGAAAGGGGACTGGAATGTTTTGGAAACAATCTGGGATGAACATTCAATGGCTTTGATTCCTCGTCTGGCGGATCTCTTAACTGAAGTTGCTCAGGATTTGAATGGTCATTTCCTCATTAGTTCACCCTTCCCAGCGCCACAGCAAAACCCACAGCAACCTTTGACAGCCGCCTCGCTTTCTCAGGTTCTATCTCAGCTTTTCCGGCTAGCGGAAGAGATTCTCTCGCTTCTCCTCCATCTAATCCTTGTCCCGTCCGTTCACTCGTCCTCTGGAGGAGCATCTTCCACATTGTCCTTCTCCCTTACCTCATATACGTTACGTTCTCTTGTTCGTAGCGTTGCGGACGTTTTTGCTTGTACCGACGCTGCCGACACCATATACGCCCAAGGAACACCTGCCTGTGTCTCTGCTCAATCCGCCCGTCAGGCCTGTCTAGAATTTGTTCGAAAAGTCACTATATCCGGACGTATCATCATCGAACCTTCCAAAAAAAGCGGAGCAGAAATTGTGATGAGTGTGCTGTTGAAGCACATCGTAACGGGCTCGGGTAGGGATCCAGCCTATCATCTCTTGCAAATGTTTGCTCTGATCGATCATATCTTGCCCGAGTCAAGCTCCAGTGTGACGCTGGAAGATGATGCAGAGCGCGAGAAGGAGAAGGAGCACTGGGTGACGGAAGTGCTTCCGAATGTACTCGAACAGATGCAAGACTTTTTCCGGCAACTGGATGTGGAAAACAAGGTCCACTTTCTCCGCCGCCTAGTAAGGTTGGATACGAACAATTTGGTGGGGATAGCAGAGTGGATGTTCATTGAGGAGTTGAAACTCCTCGAGCGGTGCGGAAAGATGCTTTTGTCATTGGTTAATCACAGCGTGAACCATATCGATACGACAACTCAGGTGGCAGTCTTGTTGTACCAGATTGGCATGCATATACGCTTGGTTGGGTATATGCTCCAGGCGGGATCGGATATGTTGAGCTGGTTCTTTGGGACGATGAAGGATGTTCCCGAAGCGTCGAGCCATCTCGCAGCATCCTTGACGGACTTGCTAGCGACTCGAGTTGAGTCTCCTCATTTAGATGCGGTCGTGGAAACGCTCTTGTCGCACTGCGA